TACTACTAGATGTCTATAGGTGTGACATAAGATTAGAAATGAAACTTTCTTTAGTTGAATTAATCTTTACTTTTATGGAAATTTAGTGGGGGGTCTTATAATTATGAGACACCCTGTATATATATTTGTTTACAAACAAATATATTCTGTCCATTGTCGACAATATGAATCTATTTACAACTTCATATCTATTCTACTGGATTGCTTCACACAGTAGCCATAGTACAGTTAGTTTTAACAGTACAATTCTATTTTTTAGTGTTAACTTGTTCTTTTATCCCTAGTACCGAACTTGAGATTGAAATTCAATTTTGAGTTTTCAAGTTTCAAGACAGATCTGATATAAATCCTTTGTGACTCTAACGTCGGAAGCTGAAAACTGCATTGAATTTAACTTTCAGGATGTACATATATGTTTTTTTAATATTAATACAAAATGTTGTATTTGAATAGAAATTAGTTGCTTGTAGCTCAGCTTCTTTCACTTTACGTAGTATTGGAGTCTTATTCGATTGCTGAGTAAACAGCTGGTCATTTTACTGCTCAGAACAACATTAATACGATATGTTTTCTTTTGGTACTATTCAACAAAATCGAATAAATGTTCTCTTTCATTGAAAGTCGAAAAAGACAAGAAAAAGCGATTAAAACGAATTTCTCATGTTACATTGTAACACAATGAAATATACTATTAATACTTATTTTACATTACGTCGATTTTTCAAAAACCCGGTTATACCGAGCATAAAAATCATAATCATTTCAGAATAATTCACTGGAAAAGAAACGAGTGAATAATAAAAACTAGTTTTAAAAGAAAACGGTATTTTTAAACGTAGTAAACGTCATAAAACTATGTATTTGGTTTCATTTAATTTGTAAGAAATGATTTTCTTTGTTGCATTCATAAGTTTTGCGCAATACTTTACAATTCTTTGAATAATGTCAACATGACACCAAATACCAGTTGAATCAGTTTTGACCAAAATATAACTATGTATACATATAATATCATGAATAAGTGTTTTATATATTGCTATATAAAATGTGATTTATTATACATAACAAGTTAAAAAAACTAACGGATTGTGCAAAAGTTCCCGAAAAAATATGGCATCATTTTTCGTTGGCTATAACATATTTTGTAAAAATAAAAAATACCTATTTAGAATCTACGTTGAAAGCGCTTTCTGACTGTACGTTCAAAACTTTTCTATTATGTCTTACCTTTGAGTAACAGCCACTTTCTTAAATAACACTAAAATGCACTCTGTAAAAACCAACCCACAACTATTGCTGGAGAAGGAGCCGATATTTCAGCATTTTTCGAATATCTCCTATGCGTTTCATTATATATTGTTGCTCTTTTTTCCATTACATTCATCACTTGATTCTCTAAGAATCTGGTAGAAAATACTATAGCATTGATTAAAGATCAGTTTCTTGTATCGCAGTCATCGTGGGTTGCTTTTTACAGAGTGCATTTTAGTGTTATTTAAGAAAGTGGCTGTTACTCAAAGGTAAGACATAATAGAAAATTTTTGAACGTACAGTTAGAAAGCGCTTTCAACGTAGATTATAAATAGGTATTTTTTATTTTTCCAAACATGTTATGATGTGCCCGATGAAAAACGAAGCGATGTTTTTCCGGGAACTTATGTATCATCCGCTAATTCTACAGATACTCTCTTTTTCAAAATTATATGATGTTAGCGATTTTGTAATACTAATGCTACCTCGCTATTCATAGGTTTTCCAATCGTAATGGAGTAACAAAACGCAGCTTCATTTTTTCCTCCACGCCATAATTCCCAGCGTTGCCCATCACTTTAGAAGAAAAACATATAAGATTTGCTTACTTTATTTTCCTTTTTCTCTATCTACTTCTCCTAATACATCTATCGCTTCTATATCACCAGTTCAACTGTAAAATTAGATGTTAACCTATAGTCTTGATTTAATTTTTTGCATAGCTGTACAACGGCTTGTGGGAAATCCAAATAGGTTGATTCGATTTTTATTTTGCCCTCGGATCATTTATTAATGCTCGAAGTGATCGTGCATTTTATTGGAAAAATAGAAAAAGTTTGTTTCCTTTGCTGTTCTTCGATTAATTGCATATATACTTTAACTGTTTCTTACCGGAGAAACACAAAAAATAGTTTAGTTTATTCCTGTTATTTTACTTATTCCGATAGTTGCCAAAGATTTTATAAAAACAACCGAATGAAAAAAGCCTCCCTTGTCCTTTTTTTTTCTCATTCTGTTACTCCGAGTATTGCTTGTCAATTTCTGAGAAAAACTTAAAAGGTTATTTTTTTTTTATTTTTTTATTTTTTAATCTTTTATCGTTTAGTTATCCTGAGAGTGATCACGCATTCGATAAATAAAAATCAAATAGCTTAGTTTCATATTTTTTTCTTCTAATAAGTATGGTCATATTTTCTCCTTTTGTTCTAAGAGAAACGAAGACGATGGATTTGTTTTTGTTGTGTTTGTTCAATCATCGCAAAAATTCTTGGGCATCTAACAATGGAAATTTAATTAAAAATCAACCTTAAATTCTTTCTTCATTTAGTTATTCTTGTATCTTCGCCGTGTTTTATAATGTAGTTTGAATATGAAAACTAATTTTAGTTATCATTTCCTTATGCAATTACTTCGATAGTTATCTAGTATCGTATTGCAATGAATCGAATAAGTTGGTTTTGTTTTGCTCTATTAATTTCAACAATGATTTCTCTGAATCTCATAAAAGAAATTGAATAAGCAAGCTTAACTTTATTCTTTTTCTCGATTTAGATGTGATAGATATTCGACGAGCATTTCATGCAAAGAGTGTGGATGAGACTCGTGTCTTCAATCACACCCACATCTACCTTCAATTTCAAAAATGCTGTCGTTTATCATATGAGAATACAATTTTATCAATCTACTTGAAAACTATTTAAGTGTGACACAAAAGTTCTTAGAAAAATGTCGCTTCATTTTTCATCGACTACAACAGGACATGTTTTGGAAAAATAAAAACTATCTGTTCAAAATCTACGTTGCAGGCGCTTTCTAACTATATATTCAAAATATTTCTATTATACATTGTCTTTGAGTAACAGCTATGTCACTAGATAATACTAAAATATACTACATCTATAAAAAGTAACCCACAATAATGAATGGGGCACAAGAAACCCATATTTAAGCGATCCCATAGTATTTTCCACCATTTTTGCAGAGAATTAAACATTGAATGTAACAGAAAATAGAGCAGCAATATATCATGAAACGCATAGAAGGTATGCAAAACATACTTAAATATCGGTTCTTTGGGTGGCAATTATTGCGATTTTTGAACGTATAGTTAGAAAGTGCCTTCAATATAGATTCTTGACAGGTAGTTTTTACTTTTATAAAACATATCATATTGTACTCAATGAAAAATGAAGAGATATTCTTTCAGAAACTTGTGCATTACCCTTTATCTTAATAAGCGCATACTAGCAATCGTTGAAACTTGTAGGGCTATCTAAAAACTATTAAAACGATGTATAGGCGAAATTTCAAGTCAAACCTCTTCATTTTGGTGTTTCCTAATCGATTGCTCTGATTGCAAATTTCAATAAAATGGTCATAAATCTTTACTAGAAAGCTATGAGCTCCATGGCTTTAAGATCTTTCTTATATCAATGTATGTTCTATCGAATAATGCAATCATCTAGTAATTAGATTTAATTTCAAAATACATCGTAAGCCTTTTCAACTATACATGATCCAAGGACTGATCAATCTTTAAGTTTCGAGATCATTCTGTAGCAGTGATTTGTTTAATAAATTATGACAACAACAAAAAATTTCTCTCTGTAGTTAAAGAGGAGATTAGCTCATATATTCAATGCTCCGAAACAATATTCGTTAAATAAGCGAAGCAAAAGTTTAGAATAATAATGAAAAGTAAAGTTTTATTTAAGCTGTCCTGATTAAATTACGGATTTCTCGCTCCTATGCGTGCAAATATAGTTCATTCTAATTTTCTAAATTGAATAGTCAACGTTTCATTCGAATTATAAAGAATCAACACTAAAGTATTGACTCTATTTTGCTAATGTAAAAATTAAAAAAATATGAATCTCTTCATAAAGGCGCTCCTGTTTTTCTTCTCAGTACTTTTAACGTTCACTTATGTTTTCTTCGTTTAAGATGTCTTTGTTTACCCAGAGTGGAATAAAAGAAACAGTCTTTCGTCACTAAGTGAGAAAAAAAAACTACGTTTGTTCAAATACAAAACAAATAGAAAGTTCTTCATCATACTATAAAAAACATTTTTAATAAATACCTATTAATTATAGATTCACTTTTTTTTCATGGCTGAAGATCAAAGCAGTAAAATTTCTTCATCAAATGATGCAGAGAACCATGATGTCACTATGGAAAATATTGTTGAAGTATTTCGAGAATTTGTCAATGGAATACCTTCGGAAACAAATGAGCAAATGATGGAATCTAATGTAGTATTTCAGCAATTGTTAAGCAAATTTCAACAAATTCAAGACAATAATAATAATTATCAAGATGTTATTCATCAAATTCTATCATTATGTAATGAATTGATTGACACTATTGAGAAAGTTACTTTTACTCATATGAATGATTTTCAAAATTGTCTCGAATTATTTCATTATATTGAATCCTTTTTTCAAACAATTATATTCATGAAAAATGAAAAACTTCTTATACGTGAAATTTTCTTTGCATTACTTGATTTACTTTCTAAACCACAAATTTGTTCATATTTGGATGGTGATCAACAGACAAAAGTGCCATACCAAGAAATTTATAAATGTATAACCAATCTTCTTATGAAATTAGCTTCTGAAAAGGTTAATAGCGTTCAATTTAAGAATGATGATAGTACTATACAGAAATACACTATTACATTCACTGCCATGTATAAACGAGTGGAACACAATCTACACGTGAATATTCATACTGAACAACGAGTAGTTTCTGATAATATCACAACACTTCTTATTTTATCATTCTTGAGAAATCTTTCTGATCGAACAATTATTGTACCATGGCTTCTTGGTATTGGTCTGGCTAAAAGTATTGTAGAATGCTTAAAAATAGTAGAAATATCTTTTTATACAGCTCATCAAATCGTCAGCATTATTTATAATATATCTCGGCATGATGAAGGTGGTGATGAACTCAACACATTCGATGGTCTTCAGATTCTTAAAAGTATTCAAAGCAGTAATAGTGAATCATTAACCGGTAAAAACAATCTTATCATATCAATGACGATCGCTTTGCTCTCTACACCCAAGCAAATTCGCTCAGATAATAAACAAATGACTGGAATTCTTAATCGATTATTACAAATCACTATGGAAGCTGCCGAGGTAAGTTCTAAAAAGAAAATATATTGATATCATAATGTCTTCGCTCTCTTCAATGAACTATTTTGTTCTCTCCGAAATTTAATATATCTCGAACTGTCCAGTTTTCATGAAAAATGGATTGTCTCGAGCAGAAAATTTGTCATCATTTTAGTTGAACGTAGTTCTCAGAAGATAGTAAAATACTAATTAACATGAATATTATCGAATATGATATGGAGGACTTGTAGCAATAACTGTTACATAAAACAGTTTCCTTCTGCTTTTAGTACATATTAAAATAATCGTTATAAATTTCAATAATGAAAGTATAATGGTCTTTTCTTTTAGGCAGTAGATCATCGAGGTTCATATGGCTTCCATGTATCTGAACCCTTAGCTGTGTTTACTAAAGTATTTGTAGATGATCATTCGCTCGACTATGTTCTCACGCATGCAGAAACTGATCCACAACTTGATGCAGCGTCAAAAATTGATCTCTTTGTCAATTTGTTCATGAAATTTCGAGGTGCATTCGTAGAGAATAATCAGTTAGAACAATTTACATGTACAGCCCTACTGAACATATTATGGAGTATTTCATTTCAAGACCAATACAAAACAAAGCTACAGCAAAATAAAAACTTCTTGAAGACCATTAATACTTTAGCTATGGATGATACTGAAAAAGTTGTCAATGAATATGTTCCACGTTCAATTGAAAGTATGACAAAAGCAGCCAATGGTATTCTTTACAACCTACAAGAACTATTAGGTGGTAAAAAGGTTGATATTGCAGATGATCAATTAGTCCCTAATATTGGCGATCAAATACCAATAATAATGATTAGCTATGCTCATGCTAACAATCACTTTTGTGATAATATTCTTGTCGAGTTCCAAGAACGAAGAAATCTATTTCGAATTTGGATTGATCGAGATCATTCTTCGACAAATGAAGATATATGGGAAAAAATTGCTCTTGGAATCAAGCAATCAAGACTTGTTGTATGTCTTCTTTCACAAGAATATTACAATAGTAAGTCATGCCGGAAAGAATTTAAGTTTGCAGTCCGTCGGAACAAGTCAATCCTTCCTGTTTATATTGGTGAACCAGGTGAATGTGATTGGCTTGGTATGTTGTTTTAATTTATTCTTCTATGTGTTGTAATATTCTTTGTATGCCAAGTGTTAAAGAAGTCCCCAATACTTATCATATATAAGTCAATATTGGATATTATCCAATTAAAATGATTTCCATAATAATAACGATTTGTAAAAACAATTCCATCTTAGATGGATTGCAGAATATTAAAATTGTGAAGATCAAAGCGAGTAATAGGTTTATACTACCGTCATTCCCTTTCATTCTACTGTCAATTACAACTATAGTATGTAACATGAAAAACTACGATGAAACATTTTTTTCGCTGACTTTAAAAATGTGATTCTCTATAGTGACATTACTTTTTATTTTATGAAAATTGGATGCTCTAATCAGTTAAACGATAAGAAAGTTATTTGTATCTAAGGAATATTATAATTCTCAGCTTTTAGCCAATCCATCGACTTACATCAATTGATAAGTAAATCATAAGAAGGTTGCTTTCGATCTTGGCTAGCTAGATAATAGTAATTACAGCTCTGATTATAACTCCACTTACTTGATTAGATTTTTGCATTAAGTTTTTGATCAGCGGTCAGTCGGCCACCGGCATCAGTTCTATTTGCACTCTATAGAATTTCTTGCATTGTAACATGCAGTCAATCAATATTTATAAAATTTTTCAGACATTCACATTGCTGAACGGAAATATGTTCGTTTCAATAACAGCACGGAAAACCTTGATGATAGTGA